GATAAAGGAGCATGTGACAATATTGCCAACACAAGTTAGTTTACGTGCATTAAAATATAAAGAAAAGTACACAAAAAGGTCATTTTATTGTATGATAATTTTGCTGCATGAATTTTGGGGAGATTAAAACATCAGTATAGGGGGCCAGGTCAGTGGCACAGCAGTTAAATTTGCATGTTCCCCTTCAGCGGCCCAGGGTTCACCACTTAGGATCCCGGGTGCGGACATGGCACCGTTTGGCACACCATGCTGTGGTAGGCTTCCCACATATAAAGTAGAGGAAGATGGGCATGGATGTTAGCTCAGGGCCAGTCTTCTTCAGCAAAAAGAGGAGGATTGGCAGCAGATGTTAGCTCAGGGCTAACCTTCCTCAAAAAGAAATGGTTAAAAAAACATGAGTATACATAGCACTCTAAGATGGAGAGTGTATTTAAAAAATAAAGATTCTAAGCGGTATTTACACACGCTTATTCATAGTAGCACAGTTCACAATAGCCAAGAGGTGGGAGCAACCCAAGTGCCCATCAATGCATGAATGGATAAAGAAAATTTGGTGAATGTATATACAATGGAATATTAGCCTTAGAAAGAAAGGGAATTCTGTCATGTGATACAACATGGATGAAACTTGAGAACATTAGGTTAAGTGAAACAAGCCAGTCAGAAAAAGACATATCCCACTTATACGAAGTATCTTGAGTACTGAAATTCATAGAAACAGAAAGTAGAATGGTGGTTACCAGAAGCTGGGATGAGGAGAAAAAAGAGAGTCATTGTTTAAAGGGAATGGAGTTTCATATTTGCAAGATGAAAAAGTTATTATATTTAACACTACTAAACTGTGCACTTAAAATGATTAAGAGGATACATTTTTATGTATTTTAATACAATAAAAATATATGTTAATCAATGGTGAAACAAATATTGCAAAATATTAATAACTGTTGAATCTAGGTAGTCTGTAAATGGGTGTTCATTGTATTAATCTGTCAACTTTTCTGTATGTTTGAAGATATTCACAATAAAAGTTTAAAACTGGACATAAATTGTATGATTCCTATGATATGAACTATCTAGAGTAGGAACATTCCTAGAAACAGAAAGTAGATTAGAGTTTGCAGAGACTGAGGTAGGGAGAGAGACTGAGGTGATGAAAAACATGTGGGAACAGATAGTGATGATGGCCGTACAACATTGTGAAGGTAATTATGCCACCAAACTGCATACTTAAAAGTGATTAAAATTGCAAATTTTATGTTATGCATGTTACCACAATTAAAAAGACTTAGCCTGAGTATGTAATAGCATTTTATTTCCATTACAAAATTTCATACCAAATTTTCTCAATTTCAAAGTTGTAGATTCAGTATATTTTTTCCACATAATAATGGATGATTCATTGAAACTCTGGTCCTTTTTGTTAGCAATATTGTTACAGTAAGTTGTGAATTATCACACAAGCAAACTATGATACAATGCACCTTGTGGTTGTAATTAACTGAGTTTGGGGCTTCTTTGTTATCATAGTAAACATATTTTTAGTTGACTGGTGTGCTACAATTATTAAGATGTTATATTGGTGCCTAGGTAAATACAAGACCGATTGATCAGAAGATAGAGACCGGAAAGAAACCAACACATAATTGGGCAGTTTAGGCAGGAACCTAAAAATGAATTTGGACTCTGCTTCATAACAAGAGAAAACCAAATTCCAGGAGGGTTCATGCTTAAAGTGGAAAAGCCAAAACTGAAAATTCTTCAGATAGAACTACTATGGGATTCATAAACAAGATCGATTGAATACAAGACATTATGGAAAGTATTGACAAACTATAACTATATTAAAATGAAGCACTTGTATTCATTAAAAAAAAAGTATAAAGGATATCCAAAAAGAAGTCACACACTTAAAGAGAAAATTTGCAATTCACATAACAGATTAAGACTAATATCTTAATTATGTAAAGAACTCATAAGAATTAATAAGAAAAAGGTAAACAACTCAGTAGAAATACCACAAATAGATATTTAACAGAAAGGAAAATAAATGTGTTAAAAGACTTTCAACCATATAATAATAAGACATATGTCAGTTGATGAAAAAATTTTTGTTTCCACAAAATTGTCAGTATAAATGAAAAGGTGTTGGTGATGATTTGGATCAATAGCAATATTTAACGTGTGTACTTTTTGTCCATCCACTTAGGAAAACTCTTGGGAACTACCCAAAGGAGACTACCTGTTCCCTTTAATCAATAATCCCATTGCAAAGATAAAACTCTCTCTCATTTCCACCAGGAGACATACAAAAGAATATTAAAACAGATTGATTCATGATAGTAAAAACACAGCTACAAGCAAACAAAATTTCCATCAATATCAAAAAGGATCTAGTTTGAAATGTTACCATATCTAATGTAAAAATACAGAGTATTGGAGATAAATCAGTTACTAATATACTAACATACCCAATGACGTGACTGAATCTGAAAAGTGCAATAATGAGAAAAACAATCAGGACAAAAAATTCATATATTAAAATTAAACTTTGAATTAATTTGAAAAGAGGAAAATTTCTAAATTGGAGAGGAATACATACAGGGATGATAAGACAGTGACATTTAACCCTATTGACAGTTTCTCAGGGTAAATATGATCAAATACTGGCAGTTTCACAGGATTGAATCTAATAAAAGAAGATCAAAGAAAATGATTAATGTAGAATTCAGGATTTTGTTTGTCAATAGGAGAGGAGATGGCGATGTGGATGGAAGACCATTCAGTTGGATTCCATGATTTTTAATCCCAGGATGGATATATGTGTGGTTATGTTACTGTTCTTTCAGATCTACATATAGATTTAATGCACTACTTCATATATGATATTTTAAAAAATAAAATTGAGAAAATGCTCTTCCATATTCCTAATTCTAAGTATATTTTCTGATGTTCTTCTAATTTGAATGTCATGAACCTCACACTTCAGAATCTCAAAAAAAAAAACGCTTATTAAAGTCTCATCCCTCACATATCTCCTCAGAGGTTCAATATCAGTAGTTCTTGCTGGACGTCAGGAAAACCTCAGTGTGAACAAAGTCTGAAGTGATTGATCTCTGCAGCTCTTCTCTGGACATCAGTGGAAGAAGCTCTGTCCTAGAAGATACCTCAAGTGCCAGGTAGAGAGCTGTTTCCCAGTTGTGGTGCTGAAAATAAAACCAACGTCGAGCTCCACTTTCAGGCAGAACAGAGAGCTCTCCAACAACTTTGATTCTCTTTTGAGATCTCCACGGTTTCCAGCCCCTTGCCTTCAGAGATGATTCTAACTCATGGCCCTGCTTTTTGGGGGTTACGGGAAAGAGAATTCTTCTAATCTTGCCAACTTTCCTTATCTCTGTTCTTGTCTTCCTCTCAACATCTCCTTGTCAAAAGAAAGTAGTTATCTATGGAATAACTTTCCTCATAACCCATTAAAAAGCTTTGCATTAGAGCCCAAGACTGCACCCAATCCTCTATGACACCAAAGATACAATTAATGTTATTCAATTATATTTCTGTTTGCGGAATCCACCAGAGATGCATAAGAAACACAGCAATATACGATGACTAAGGGGAGAGGTGAAAACTCAGATACATTCTTACAAATAAATCAATAAGGTTTCAAAGCCAATAAGATGCCAGAGGATTACCAACCTTTTTCCTGCCTACATAACAATCATTTGTTTTGTTATATTACTCAGACCAGAAAAAGCAGCTAATAAATATAACAACAAAAGAAAACAAATATAATTACTGAAGCAAGTGATAAAAATACATGAGACCAATAGGATTACAAGACTTAATATAAACAAGAATGGAACACAATGATAGTAGCTAAATTTTATTGAGTACTTACTAGGTGACAAGCATTGTCCTAAGCGTTTGTAGTGCTTATGGGGGTGCACTTCTCAGCAGGAGTTTCACTCCATATGGTCAGTTTAAGGTTCTCGTCGTAATCATTTTCCCCACACTAAGAATTAAATTAAGTAGGTAGCATCTGATCTTATTCTCAGTGACGAGATTAAAGGTGATGTTTTATGGATGATGCCATTGAATGTCTATTATAAATACATCCTCATTAATAGTAGACTCAGGGAAGGACAGTCAGTTTTCTGTCTCCAGAAATCATGTCAAGGTATGATACCTGCATCTGTTGCATCTATCTGGGTTAATGAGGGGAAATAGACCTAACTGAAGCCACTTCATATAGGATTGAATGAATCCCTACTCTCTCACTCCTGTGAGAGAGTACATTCTATACCTCTGAAGTCCTTGTAATGAAAGATAACTCTGTTTATTGTTTGAACATATTAGAACCAAGATTTCTTTCTCTTGTTAGAAAGAAACTAAGGATGCTTCACTGATCAAGTTCAAATATCTCACAGCCATTTCAAACCACTGAGATACTCCAATAATGGCAATATTACGATAATGAAGCTGAGTGTTGTGGATGCTAATGCTGCCTCGCACATGTTCAATTTATCACTGACCAGTCTTGGGAATTAGTGAATCAGGTATGAAAGGTCAGCCACCTGTCTCAGAGTAGGCGTAAATCTAGGATGCAATTCACATGGCACTATCCATGGGATCAGACAGAATCTAGTCTCTGATATGACCACAGCCTTGTTTAAGTCCTTTCCCTGTCCTATCCACTTTATTTCATTTCCCTTGTGCTGAGAACTTTCCAAACAAAATTACTTTACCAAGAACGTCTGTCTCAGATTCAGTTTCTATGTACCCTAAACAAACAAACTTATCATAGACAATGGAAATCACCTGGCAAACATCACAAAGCTAAATAAAGAGAAAGTCAGGTTTCACTCTCACTTAAAATGCTCTTAGCCACCTTGCCATTTATCCATTTAAGAAGATCATAGTGATGGAGGAGTTAGGCATTATGGTTCATCAGTATTTCTTTCACTTTGACTCATTATAGTGAACCCAGCCCAAATCAGATGACAAGGTCACAGAAAAGAAAAGATCCTACCAATGAGCCTCCCCAAGGCCCCCTTCATGTCTGTGTTCCTCAGGCTGTAGATGAAGGGATTCATCATGGTAGTGACCACAGTGTACATCATTGAAGCCACTGTAGTCTTCCTGGAAGAGTTTGTCACTGCAGAACTAATATATACTCCAAAAGCTGTCCCGTAGAACAAGGTAACAACTGAGAGGTGAGACCCACAAGTGGAAAAAGCTTTATACTTTCTGCCTGACACTGACATTCTCAAAATAGAGGAAACAATTTGAATATATGAGAAAATGATTCCAAAAAGGGGAACACCACCAAATATGCTAGCTGCAAAGTATATCAGGATGTTATTGATGAGGGTATCAGAACATGCAAGCTTGATGACCTGAACAACTTCACAGAAGAAAAGGGGGATTTCCATGTCTGTGCAGAAGGACAGCCGCAACACCATCAGACTGTGGAGCAAGGCATCCCCTATGCTAATGCCCAGCGAAAGTAAGGTCAGCAGCCCACAGAATCGGGGGGTCATAATAAGTGCGTACGTCAGGGGGTGACAAATGGCCACATAGCGGTCATAGGCCATTATGGAAAGGAGAAAATTTTCGCAAAGGACAAAATTCAGGACAAAGCAAATTTGGCTAAGGCAGCCTGCATAAGTGATGCTCTGATTCTGTGCTTGGATGTTCACCAGCATCTTTGGGATCATAGTTGTGCTTAAACAAATGTCAGTAAAGGACAGATTGGAGAGAAAGAAATACATGGGTGTGTGGAGACGGGAGTCAGAGATGACAGCCAGGATGATGAGCATGTTTCCCAGGACGGTGACCAGGTACATGGGCAGGAACAGGCTGAAGAGGCTGGTCTTCAGTTCTGGATCATCTGTCAGTCTCATGAGAAGAAATTCTGAAACATCTGTTTTGTTTCTGGGTCCTATATTGTTGGTGAACCTGAAGGAAAAGATGTGATCTCTAAACCAAGAGAAAGAATGTCCTTTGAGGCAAACACCGACTAGGGAAGGGAAGGAATCAAATGGAGGGATGCCTTCTGTGTGCACGTAATTTTGTTATTTTGAATAAAAGGCCTCAAGTTAATGAAGCAGCATGTCAAATCTATAAATTCTGAAATGGGTTAAGGGATGATTATTTTAAATATTATACTGTCTATGCTCTTCACATTGTTATAAACGTTTTGTAATTTTATTCGTAGAACAGGCTGTCCAGGGAAGCAGGCTAATGTAACTCTATCTGGATCTGCACCTTCTTCCCCAGAGACCTCACAGCCTAGCAACAGAGATAATACCAATGTGTATTAAAAGCCCAGATTTGGGAGATATGGTGAAACTGACCATGTCTCCTTCTTGAGACCACTATAAGAATTAAGTAAATGCCAGCAAACTTTATAACATTTACCATGTTTGCGAATGAGAATATTCCTGCTGAGAAGGAAAATGTTCTTTTCCATCACAGAGAGAGTAGGAGACTAGCAGAATGTGGGTTGTATGAGGATGGGAGGAAAATTACAAGGGAACATGTTAGAAAATGGAAGAGAGGCAGGAGGCAAATGCATGTCTTGGTTCTGAGCATCCGAGGCATGTAATCCCCTCAAAGTTTCCCTTAGATGAACTTGTAGTAAAACACCTTCCCTCATTCCCAAACATTAACTAAGTAGCTTTAGGTTACCTGGAGGACATCACTGTGGAATGATGCTGGACATCTCTCCTAGATATTGAAAGATGGACACTGAAACAGTATCATTAGGAAGAGGAGAGGTACTGAGTGAAGCACCAGGCTCCTGGGCAAGAGGAATCATCTCTGAGAGGAGACTCAAGTGTACTCTTTCTTTACTGGGAAAAGGCTGTTCAGTGATGTGGTCACAGACAGACTTCTTAGTAGTCTCTGTGTCCCTGGAGGATCAATATCCAAAGTACCTCATTAGCCAATTTTATTGTCATTCTGATCCCAGGGCTCTGCAAATCCTTAAAGAACAAGACAACAGAATGGGGGAATTCAGGATGATTGATTCCCTGATGCTATGAGGCCAGGTTTTCACCATTCAGTTCTCCACCTGTTTCTGTTCACATCTATTTCATAGACATTGCAAATGTGGACCCATTACCCTTCCCTAATTGGATTCCAGTATTATTTTATTTTATATTATTTTAGTGAGGTCATAATAGTTTATAACTTTGTGAAATTTCAGTTGTGAATTATTTGTCAGTCACCATATAAATGTGCACCTCCAACCCTTATGCCCACCCAACAGCCCACTTCCCCTCTGGTAACCACTAAACTGTTCTCTTTGTCCATGTGTTAGTTTATCTTCCACATATGATGAAATCATATGTTGTTTGCCTTTCTCTGTCTGGCTTATTTCACTTACCATAATATCTTCAAGGTCCATCCAAGTTGCTGCATGTGGGATGATTTTGTCTTTTTATGGCTGAGTAATATTCCTCTGTATAGATACACCACTTCTTTATCTATTCATCAGTTGATGGGCACTTGGATTTCTTCCACTTCTTGGCTATTGTGCATAAGTCTGAAGTGACTATAGGGGGTGTATGAGTCTCTTTGAATTGTTGATTTCAAGTTCTTTGGATAAATACCCAGTAGTAGGATAGCTGGGTCATATGGTATTTATATTTTTAATTTTTTGAGAAATCTCCATACTGTTTTCCATAGTTTCTGCACAAGTCTGCCTTCCCATCAGAAGTGTATGAGGGTTGCCTTTTCTCCACATCCTCTCCAACATTTGTTATTTCTTTCTTGGTGATTATAGCCATTCTAATGGTTGTAAGGTGACATCTTAGTGTAGTTTTGATTTTCATTTTGCTGATTATTAGTGATGTTGAAGATCTTTTGGTGTGCCTGTTGGCCATCTGTATATCTTCTTTGGAAAAATGTCTGTTCATACCCTCTGCCCAATTTTTGATTGGGTTGTTTGCTTTTTTGTTGTTGAGTTGTGTGAATTCTTTACAAATTTTGGAGATTCACCCCTTGTCTGATACATGATTTGCCAATGTTTTCTCCCAGTTGTTGGGTTGTCTTTTTGTTTTGTTCCTGATTTCCTTTGCCTTCCAGAAGCTCTTTGGTCTGATGAAGTTCCATTTGTTTACTTTTCCTTTTGCTTCCCTTGCCCAAGTAGACAGAGGATTTTAAAAGATTCTGCAAAGACTGATGTCAAAAAGTGTACTGCCTATATTTTCAACTAGGAGTTTTGTGGTTTCATATCTTACCTTCAAGTCTTTAATCTGTTTTGAGTTAATTTTTTATGTGAAAAATAATGGTCTACTTTCATTCTTTTGCAGGTGTCTGTCCCATTTTCCAAACCCCATTTATTGAAGACACCTTCCTTTCTGCATTGTATGCTCTTGGCTCCTTCATCAAAGATTAGCAGTCCATAGACGTGTGGTTTTATTTCTGGGCTTTCAGTTCTGTCCCATTGATCTGTGTGTCTGTTTTTGTATTAGAATCATGCTGTTTTGATTACTATACCTTTGTATTATATTTTGAAGTCAGGGATTGTGGTGCCTCCAGCTTTGTTCTTTTTTCTCAGGATTGCTTGAGCTATTTGGAGTCTTTCATTGCCCCACATGAATTTTAGGATTTTTAATTCTATTTCTGCAAAGAATGTTATTTGATTTCTGATTATGATTGTATTGAATCTCTAGATTGCTTTAGGTAATGTGGACATTTTAACTATATTTATTCTTCCAATCCATGTGCATGGAATATCTTTCCATTTCTTTATGTCATCATTGATTTCTTTCAAATGCCTTATAGCTTTCAGTGTACATGTCTTTCACCTCTTTGGTTGAGTTTATTCCTAAGTATTTTATTCTTTTTGTTGCAATTGCAAATGGGATTGTATTCTTGATTTCTTTTCCTGCTAGTTCATTGTTAGTGTATAGGAATGCAACTGATTTTTTAAAATTGATTTTGTACCCTGCAACTTTGGGATAGTTGATTATTTCTAATATTTTTCTGGTGGATTCTTTAGGATTTTCTATGTATACAATCATGTCATTTGAAAACAGCAAAAGTTTCACTTCTTTTCTAATTTGGATTCCTTTTCTTTTTCTTACCTAATTTCTCTGGCCAATACCTCCAGTACTATGTTGAATAGGAGTGGTGAGAATGGGTACCCTTGTCTTGTGCCTGTTCTCAGAGGAGTGGCTTTCAGTTTTTCATTGTTAAGTATGATGTTGGCTGCGGGTTTGTGATATATAGCCTTTCTTATGTTGAGGTACTTTCCTTCTATACCTACTTTAATGATTTTTTATCATAAATGGATGTTGGATCTTGTCAACTTCTTTCTTTACATCTATTGAGATGATCAAGTGGTTTTTATTCCTCATTTTGTTAATTTGGTGTATCACATTGATTGATTTGAAGATGTTGAACCATCCCTGCATCCCTAGTATAAATATCGGTTGATCATGGTGTACATTATTTTTAATGTATTGCTGTATTCGGTTTGCCAATATTTTGTTGAGGATTTTTGCATGTATGTTCATCAGCGATATTGGCCTGTAGTTTTTCTTCCTTGTGTTGTGCTTCTCTGGGTTTGGGATCACGGTGATGTTGGCCTCATAAAACACATTAGGAAGTGTTCCATCATCAGTTGTTTGGAATAGTTTGAGAAGGATATGTATTAAATCTTCTTTGAATGTTTGGTAGAATTCTCCAGAGAAGCCATCTGGTCCTGGGCTTTTATTTTGGGGGAGGTTTTTGATTACTGTTTCAATTTATTCACTTGTGAATGGTGTATACAGATTCTCCATTTCTTCTTGATTCAGTTTTGGGAGGTTGTATGAGTCTAAGAATTTATCCATTTCTTCTAGATTGTGCAATTTCTTGGCATATATTTTTTCATAATATTCTCTTATAATCCTTTGTATTTCTGTGGTACCCGTTGTAATTTCTCCTCTTTCATTTCTAATTTTATTTATTTAAGCTTTCTGTCTTTTTTCCTTAGTGAGTCTAGCTAAAGTTTTGTCAATTTTATTTATCTGCTCAAAGAACTGTTTTTTTGTTTGTTTGTTTCAGTTTCATTTATTTCTGCTATTATTTTTATTATTTCCCTCCTGCTGACTCTGGTCTTTGTTCTTCTTTTTTAATTCTGTTAGGTGTAGTTTGAGATTTCTTATTTAAGTTTTTTCTTGTTTGTTAAGTTGGGCTTGTATTGCTAAGAATTTCCCTCTTAGGATTGCTTTTGCTGCATATTATATAAGTTGGTATGGTGTATTTTCATTTTCATTTGTTTCCTGAAATTGTTTTTATTTTTCCTTTAACTTCTTCAATGATCCACTGGTTGTTCAGTAACATATTGTTTAGTCTCCACATATTTATCACTTTCTCAGCTTTTCTCTTGTCATTGATTTCTAGTTTTATAGAAAAAAGTTTGAAAACAATGCTTGTTATGATTTCAATTGTTCTCAAATTTATTAAGGCTTACCTTGTTTCTCAAAATATGGTCTATCCTTGAGAACGTTCCCTGTGCACTTAAGAAGGTGCTTTCTTCTGTTTGGGGATGGAATGTTCTATGTATATCTATTAAGTCCACCCGATCTAGTTTTTCATTTAAATCCACTATTTCCTGGTGACTTTCTAGCTGGATGATCTATCCATTGATGTAAGTGGAGTGTTAAGGTCCACAACTATTATTGTGTTGTTGTTAATATCTCATTTCAGGTTTGTTAATAGTTGCTTTATGTACTTTGGTGCTCCTATGTTGGGTGTATATATATGTATCAGTGTTGTATCTTCTTGTAGTGTGTCCCTTTTATATGCTGCTCTTCTTTGCCTCTTATTGCCTATTTTATCCTGAAGTCTACTTTGTCTGATATAAATATGGTGACACTTGCTTTATTTCGTTTGCCGTTAGCTTGGAGTATCACCTTCCATGCCTTCACTCTGAGCCTGTGTTTGTCTGTAGAGTTGAGATGTGTTTCCTAGAGGCAGCATAC